ACATGAGAATTCCTGTCAAATGTCCAATTCAGATTATGACTTCTGAAGGTTGTAAGCAAAGCACGAAGCACTTGCAATTGAAGCTGCAACATACTAGAGAATGTGTTGAGAAAGGACTCGTAACGGTGTCCTACATGCCAGGTAATGAAATTCCTGATGATTTATTGTCCAAGGTTGTTCCGAAGGATCAACACTGTACCTATGTACAGAAATTGGGTTTGTACTGATAATGTACTAACACGCTGCCCAGTGGTGTTCACAGAAAGGGGGAGGATGTTAGTTTCTGTTTCTCACTGTGCAGCTGTGCGGAGTCCCAGGACTCTGTTTACATTCCAGAGACCTTGCAGTCTCACGGGAAAAGGGAGACAGGATGTGACGTTAGTGGTTTCCTGTTTCCTTTGTTCCTTTGTTCAGTTGCTCTCTGCTTTCATAGAGAGAGGATGTCTTTTCTGTTCTCGTAGTTTAGAAATAAAACTCTTTACAATGTAGCCAAACCTCTCGTCTCTTCCCTGTGCTGGGAACCCTGCTGGATAGAATGTGCTTGAGGCCTTATAAAAGGCTCAGGTCACTAAACACGTCGGAGGCGATTTCCAAGGCTCAGCTCGGAGGAAGATGAGGCCTTATCGGCTTGGCCGAACGGAGATTCCGACAAAGATTCACAAAATGTTTAGGGGTATGCGTACCCCTTCGTGCCCCCCAGGAAAAAGGCACTGGATCTAACCATCATCTTTTCCCTTTTACAAACATTTTATTGGTTTTGAATGAATCATAGAATTATAGAGTTGAAAGGGACCCCGAGGGACATCTAGTCCAACCCCCTGAATGCAAGAAACTCAGCTAAAACATTCATGACAGAATGAACCACGCACATCACAAACACAATAACAACAGTTATGTAGAAGTGTCCATGTACTGTTCGAGTAGGAACCAAGACGGGTGACCAGTGGGATGAATAAATGTTTACTCCCAGCATCTAGTGCTTAAACCAAAGGGAAGCACTATCTCCATATTGATGCAGTGGGAAGGGGGTGGGGTGGGGAGACTGCCTGCCTAATGGAAGAAGAAGAAGAAGAAGAAGAAGAAGAAGAAGAAGAAGAAGAAGAAGAAGAAGACAATGAAGAGGAGGAGTTTGGATTTGATATCCCGCTTTATCACTAACCTAAGGAGTCTCAAAGCTGCTCACAATCTCCTTTCCCTTCCTCCCCCACCACAAACACACTGTAAGTTGAGTGAGGCTGAGAGACTTCAGAGAAGTGTGAGTAGCCCAAGGTCACCCAGCAGCTGCATGTGGAGGAGCAGGGAAGCGAACCCGGTTCACCAGATTACGAGTCCACCGCTCTTAACCACTACACCACGCTGGCTGATGTTGTTTCATTCCCCCTCTTTTTTTTTTTTTTTGTTAGAGTGTATATTAATTTCCCAATAAAAAACGTCCAATTAACATATCAAATCATAATCCAATAAAAATAAAAAAATAAAATAAAAAAGATCAAATTGTCTTCCGAATTGTAATTTTGATTGGGCAGGGTCCTGAGGGCAAGACAGAGCTGCCAGGAGGCCAGTACAGTGGTACCTCTGGTTATGAACGCTTCAGGTTACAAACGCTTCAGGTTACGAAACTGCGCTAACCCAGAAGTCGCTGTTTCTGGTTGTGAACTTTGCCCCAGGATGTGAACGGAAATTGTGCACAGGAGGCTTGTGCACAGTGGGAGGCCCCATTAGCGAAAGCGTGCCTCAGAATAAGAGGCTTAAGAACACAGATATCTTGGATCTGGAAGGTTTCAATAATGTTTTTGGTTGGCATGCATATTTATGGTATGACAAAACTAAGCAGCATAGTGCCTTTAAAAATCATATTGTTAGAAAAGCATTGTTTAATGTATGGACGAGATATAAAGATCTGCTGGAAAACAAAACCCCTAGATGGGTGTCGCCAGTCGAGGCTAAAGCAGTAAAGAAACTCAATATGGAGGTCGGATGGCCGAAGTATTGGGAAATTTTGGAACAGGATGGAGACAAGTGGAAATTACAAAGCTATGACAAATTGAAGGATAAAGTACAAAACTGGCTTCAATACTACCAAGTAATGGAGCTTTTCAAACAGGATAGGAAAATTGGCTTTCAAGTGGATAAATCCAAACTAGAAATTGAACTGTTAGAACCCAACACTAAGAATTTGTCAAGAATGTATAATTTGTTGCTGAAATGGAATACACAGGATGAAACGGTTGAAATCAGCCATGATTAAATGGGCTCAAGATATTGGTCATGACATTATGTTTGCCGACTGGGAACAGTTATGGACCACCGGTGTTAAGTTTACGGCATGTAATGCCTTAAGAGAAAACATAATGAAAATGATTTACAGGTGGTACATGACCCCAGTCAAGCTGGCAAAAATCTATCATTTGCCCGATAACAAATGTTGGAAGTGTAAAGAGACTGAAGGTACCTTCTACCACCTTTGGTGGACATGCCCGAAGATTAAGGCCTTCTGGGAAATGATCTATAATGAAATCAAAAAGGTACTCAAATGTACCTTCGTGAAAAAACCAGAGGCCTTTCTCTTGGGCATTGTCGGCCAATTGGTGACAAAGAAGGATAGAACTTTCTTTATGTATGCTACAACAGCAGCAAGAATACTCATCGCAAAGTATTGGAAGACCCAAGATCTACCCACTTTGGAAGAATGGCAGATGAAAGTGATGGACTATATGACATTGGCTGAGATGACAGGCAGAATCCGTGACCAACGAAAAGAGACGGTGGAAGAAGAATGGAGGAAATTTAAAAGTTATCTTAAGGACTACTATAAACTTAATGAATGCTAAAATGTTGCGGTTTTCAGAAATAAAGGGATACAGGGATATAAGGTTAGAAATTTAAAAAAAAAAGAACTAAGAAGATAGAGATTGAAAATAACAATTGGGAGTTGCTAGTGGAACTTTGGACACTGGGATGCAGAGAGGGGGGGTATGGGGAAGTCAAAGGAAAGAAGTTTATGAAAATATGTTTGAAACTATACGTGTATGTTTGTCATTTTTGGTGTTTGTTTGTTTTTTGTTTAAAAAGTTTCTAAAACCAATAAAAATTTTATAAAAAAAAAAAAACAGAATAAGAGGCTTAAGAACGGACCTCTGGAACAAATTAAGTTCGTAACCAGAGGTACCACTGTATTCAGTTTCGAGGTATGGGGTTGGGGGGGGGAATTCTCCTTGTGATTTCAAGAACGGAGCCTCATACTAAATCCCCAATCAGTAGGACTTCATTCAGTAATGCATTACATCTCTATTAGGACACAGACTATACAGCATAGGCAAAGTATGCATAATCTTAGCTGTTCATCCTTTACCCAACCACTTTCTGCCTCATCTGCACTTCACCATCTCTCATCAAGCCATAGTTCATGAAAAACACTAACCCAACCCATTTGATTCTAGTATCTGTGTCAGAACCCTCCTTGTACCTTATCTGGAGTTGTTTTTCTCTTTAACACTCAGCCATTAATTTCCCCTTTAACTGGTTTTTACTAGTCTTGTGGTCAGTTCCCATTCCTGTGCATGTTACACTGGCCTCACTTATTAATGGGCCTAACCAGGGTCTTTTTCCAGCCAGAACTTGCTGGAACTCAGTTCTGGCCCCTCTTTGGTGGGTGCCATTGCCATCCTAAGAAAACGAGTTGCCCTACCTCAGTTCCCCATTCTTTTAAAAAATAAAAATCTGACCATTTATATTCATCAATGCATACAGGTATCACACTGTTTTATTCTCTGCCTGCCAACCCACCTATCTGGTATTCCTGCTCTGCCCATTACAGGATTCTCTGTGAATTCCCTCTAGCTGTGAAGCTGTTGTCTCTTTCAAGCTACCTTCTGTTCCACTCTTCCCAAGTCTGCTGGAGATGTAGAATGATAGAGAATCCTAAGCCTGGAGGTGGGATTGGGGTCCGCTCTCCACAGTCCCCCTGACTCTTTAAACTTGGAAGAGATGCTCCAGGTCTGGGCGGTTTGGATGCCATGGGAATTGGGATGGAACACAGCTCTTTCTACAGTGAAACAACCCCCCGAGATGTCCACCCTAGCACCTCCAGAGAAACACTATAAATGCTGCTTTCTGGTCAGCCAAGTGGAGTCAGATCTGAGGGATGCTCCTCCATCCACGATGCAGCTGCCAGTAGACCTTTGACTCTGTGGCTCAGCAGAGCACACCTTGCTGTGTTGATCTGTAGGTGAGCTGGCAGAACAAAAGGTCCTCTCAAGGTGAGTGGAAAGGAGGGGAGTAATAGAATCATAGAATGGACAAGTTGGAAGGGACCACAAGGTGCTTCTAGTCCAATTCCCCACATTGAGGGACTTTTTCGCCCAAATGGGGCTTGACCCTGAGATTTAGAGGCTGAGATGGGGAGGGAGGGGCAGTTGCCGGGACCATTTTTGGAAGGAGGAGGACAGCAAGTTACCTCTCCTTCCAAGGAACCTTTGTTGCAATTGGCATGTCCAGCTCTGGTCACTGTAGAGCTGCAAGAGGTGAATGAGAAGATCAGGGCGTGTGGTGGTGGAGGAATCAGGTTCCCCACAGAGAAAGGCTGGTTTTGATGAAGGAGACATTAGTGGGAAATGTGGTGGTGGTGGTAGGGGACACACGACAGAAGAATATAGAACCATGTACAGGATGAGGAAAGTGGAGAGCCGCCACCCCCACCAGCTTTGTCAGACTAAAGTGGCCCAATGAATTGATGGGTGGGAGAGGAGGAGCAGACAGGAATGGTCCTCATACAGCAGTGTGCAGGCTGCTTTTTTCATTTTCTTTGTTCGGACACAGGGACCTACACTCTGGCCAAATCCAGCTAGCAGGCTCATCCCCTCCACACAAACACACAATTGTTTTCTTAACATGAAACAGGATTGCTAGGCAAGGGTCTGTGTGTCCATGAGGAGCCATGGAGGAAAATGCTGGCCTGTTTTCTTCTTCTTAGCAGGGTCTCAGTGACCTGTTCTCTGGCTGGTTCCAGGAGGAGAATGCCCCTTTCGAATGCCACCCACTTTCATTCCCCCACCTTCATCCTGCTGGGGGTCCCGGGGCTGGAGGCGCTTCACTCCTGGATCTCCATCCCCTTCTGCCTTGGCTACCTGGTTGCTCTCGTGGGCAACTGCACCATCCTCTTCATCATCAAAACGGAAGCCAGCCTCCACCAGCCCATGTTCTACTTCCTCTCTGTCCTTCCGGCCATTGACCTGGGCCTCTCCACCTCCACCCTGCCCAAGATGCTGGCCATCTTCTGGTTTGGCCTTGGGGAGATCAGCCATGGGGCCTGCCTGGCTCAGATGTTCTTCATCCACAGCTTCACGGGGATGGAGTCTGTCGTGCTGCTAGCCATGGCCTTTGACAGGTATGTGGCCATCTGTGACCCTCTGAGATACACCACTATCTTGACCAAGGCAAGGGTAGCCTGAATGTGTGCTGCCGTTGTGCTGAGGACATTCTTATTTGTGCTGCCCATTTCCCTGTTGACTCTCTGCCTGCCCTTCTGCAGCGATCACGTCATCCTTGCCCACACCTACTGTGAGCACATGGGCATCGCCAAGCTGGCCTGTGCTGACATCCGGATCAATATGATTTATGGCTTGTTCACTATTACCATCCTCATGCTTGATGTGGTCTTCATTCTTTTGTCCTATGTGCTGATCTTGCGGTCTGTTTTCCGGCTCCCCTCCAAAGAGGCCCGGCTCAAATCCTTGGGCACTTGCGACTCTCATGTTGCAGTCATTTTTGTCTTCTACACTCCTGCCTTCTTCTCCCTCCTCACCCACCGCTTCGGACGCAACATCCCCCAGAGTCTGTCGTGCTGGATGAGGACCCCTGGCCTACACTGACTGGCATCTCCCCAGAGTTTCAGGCAGGGATTTCGTCCAGCCCTTGCAGGAGATGCCAGGGGCTGACAATGGGACATTCTGCATGCCAAGCAGATGCTCTAGGGCTCCCCATATTTCACTAGCCTTTCAATGTTATGCTATTAGCAATCGTGGAGATTCCACCTGCCTCTTTCGAAAGGAGAACAGTCACCTGGTCAATTTAATTAATTAATAATAATTTATACCCCACCAATCGGGCTGGGTTTCCACAGCCACTCTTGGCGGCTTCCAACAAAAGATTAAAATACAATAGTCCATCAAACATTAAAAGCTTCCCTAAATATAATAATAACAACAACCATCCATTTTCAGTCCATTGAATTAGCAATTAAGCATTTCTGGAAAAGGGAATGGCATACTTTTGTATATTAGTATAAAAAGCATGCATAGGAAAGTATTACTCATTTATGCTGAGAATGGGATTTATTTATTTTGAACTTTGCTGGGTTCCTCCTCAGCAGCCAGTGCGATTCTTTCAGCAGGGCTAGAACTCAGGACCCGCTGCCTTGAGGGACACCTAAGAGCAGTTGGGCAGGGAAAGGTCTCCCTTGGGAGGTGGGGGACTCTCCTTCCTTGGAGGTTTCTCAGCAGAGATCGGACGGCCATCTGCCCTGGATGCTTTAGCTGAGATTCCTGCCTTGCTGGGGTTTGGACTAGATGACCCTGGGATCCCCTCCTATCTCTCCACTCCTGAATTCTAGGAGGAGCTTCCTTGCCTCCTGCAAAGCCCTTTTCCCTGCAAGCTCTTCCTCTGGTTTCTGGCCAAGGGAGGGAGATGCTCAGAGTCCAGCCAAGAGCCTCACCCCCAAAAGGATATCTGGGCATTGGGGTAGCCAAATAACAAATAATAAGAACCTGAGGTTCTGCCAAGCGAGAGAGGGCTGAGCTGGAGGGACTCGGCTTGGCAAGGGTTAAAGGGAACCGAGCTGCCTTCCTAGAGAGGCCAGGAAGCAAGGGGGGGCAGGTCCTCCAGAGCCAAGGCCCCTCCCTCCCCAGTCCTTTCCTGCAAGGAAGGGGGGGGTTGCTTTGTGTCTCTGCTGCAAGGGCTGCCTCGCTCTCCCCTCCTGGGATCTGGTGAGTCTCCTCTCTCTCTGGGATCTGGTGAGTCTCCTCTCTCTCTGGGATCTGGTGGGGGTCCCAGGGCTGCAGCAGGGGAGGGGGCCTGGGGGGCCTGATCTGCTCCTGCGGGGGGGGACCCCAAGTCAGGGAGGAGAGGGTCCTGCCAGGGAGGGGCCAGGTCTGCCACGCTCTCCTTCCTGCAGATCATAGGATCCCGAACTCATTTGACCCTCCGCCCCCCCCTTCAGAAAAAATCTCCCTTCTTCAAACAAAGGAGTCCCTGGGACTTTAACTCTGTGTGACGTCGCTCAGCCTCATTGCACAACAGAGGGAACAAATGTGCAAATGGTTTTCCAAAGCTGGACGAGGAGGTGGACTAGCCCCCCCCCCAAAAAAAAAGGGTGGGAGAGGGAGGCCAGGAATAAAGAGAGGGATCCCAGGCCAGAGTCTGGCTGCTGCATTGGGGACCAGTTTCCCAGTGTCTCCCAGGGCAGCTCCCCACGGAGGCCACTGCAGCAATCCCCTCGCACCCAGAGCAGGGCATCCCAGGACCACATCCTCTCTCTCCCAAAGGGATTGTTGCTGGCAAAGCAGCCGGAAATGGGCGCTGCTACTCCCTGAGCCTCCAGGGACCTTGGCATCAATGGCTATGTGTGTGTTAAGCTATCTATTAGAATACTAATACTAAATTACCCGCCTAAATTTCAAGGGAGGTGTCTTTGGCCTCATTGACTTGGCCCTCAGGGGTTGGCCCTCAGAGCAAAGAAAAAGCGACCCCACCCAGGAGTCTGTCTTGAGAGGGGCAGAGAGTCCAAGTGCAAGAAAAGGAGACAGAAGCAGGGGAGTGGGGGTGGGGAGAGAACAACTCCTGAGGACCCCCGGGTGAGGACCCCCACTAGAGCCAAGCATCCATTATTCACAATATACAAGTGACTCCCTTGTCTGTCAGTTCTGACTTCATGCATTGATTGGAAGGCAGGAGCAACTAGACTGATTCACCTCAGAGAAATCCCTTCAGTTGCCTCCACATTTTGCATTGCTAGAAGGCTAGAGACATATTTCTTCTCCTACTATTCTTTCCCCCAAAAAAAGATAGCTCATGGACTGGAATGCGGTGCAGTCCAGCCCTAGTTCCCAGCAAGACTCATCCATGCTTGTTCAGGGATCTGTTTCTTCTCCTGACCTACAAATTCTGTAACAGAACAATGTATTTGCTTTCTAGGATTTGCTAGAGCTTCTCATTAAGACGGACAGGACTTGGCAGAAGACCAAAAGGTTCCTTCCGATCTCTCAGAGGCTTCCTGAGAGCACAGATGGATGAGCGAGACACATCTGGCCCTAGAGCAGGAAGAGGCCATGCCAGCCAAACTGGGAGCAGTGGGGGATTCTGGGAAAACTCTGTGCAGAAGATCCTGAGTGAGGAGGACACCCTCCGCTCAGAGGTTCAGAGCCAGCAGTTGAGGCAGTTCTGCTGCCAGGAGGCCAAAGGACCCCGAGAGGTTTGCAGCCGATTTTACCACCTTGACCGTCAGTGGCTGAAGCCAGAAAGGCACACGAAAGCTGAGATGCTGGATCTTGTGATCTTGGAGCAGTTCCTGGCTGTCCTTCCACCGGAGATGGAGAGCTGGGTGAGGGAATGCAGAGCGGAGACCAGTTCGCAGGCGGTGGCCCTGGCCGAAGGTTTCCTTCTGAGTCAGGCAGAGGAGAGAAAGCAGGTGAGAGAGACTTTCCTCTGGATACTCCAAAGGAGCTCCAAACAGGATGGAGAACATCCCATAATGCTCTACTGTTGGCCCATCCGTTTTCTGGGAAGGCATCCATGGAATGAGATGTAACAGCCTGAATGTTTTTGTCTTTGTCATTCTTTTACTAATATTTCTCCCCATTCTCTGTTTTGAATCCTTGTTTCTTTTTCAGGGAACGGATCTCTTTGCAGAAATGGACCTGGGTTCCTGTGAGACAGAGAGGCCTCCATTGGACACCAGAGAGCGGCCACTGGGTAAGGAGGAAGGTGGTGTTTCTCTGTTTGGTCTCATTCTGTTGGTTTTCCAACTCATCTGAGGGTTCTTTGTCACGGCTAAAAATTGGCAGCTGTTTCTTTAATGCTTAAAAAGCTGGGTCAGCATGAGTCAGCGGCCTGAACCGGGTTGTATATATAGAGTGAGAAATGTTAGTTTGGTTTGGGTTGGTTGGTTGGTGAAAGCTGGTAGTGTTGACGTGTGTGAGAGATTTTGACCAGCCTCAGCCCATCTGAAGCTGATACAGGCTCGTCTTATATTGAGCCCAAGCAGAGTAGTCCACACAGCAGAAGGATAAGCAGTATGTGCCACATTCTCAACTTTATTTCCACTCTATGCTGAGAGAATACAAACATGCATCTTGCCTCTGTGAGAGCAGAGAAGCAACCTGTCTCTCTAACAAAGAAACCGAGAGAAGAGTGAAAAACAGCAAACCAGTGTACGTCACATCCAGTCTCCCATTCCCGTGGGAATCCAACAGTAACTTAGAGTGTGGAATGCAAAACAATGTCTTGTGACATGCATACACTGCTCAGTGAGGAAGCAGAAACCAACAGTGTGTACAGTTGGCCAGTCGCTTTTGCAGAAAGGCTTTTAAGAATAAAAGCAGAAAGCACTCTGCAAGGATACTCTTCTCGTGGACTCTTTATGCCAACAAGTGTCCGAGGACCAGGCTGAGGCAACAAAGGGAGGTCAGAACATTTTATTTTTTTTACAAACACTGACAGGTTATGGGCCCAGTGTTTCTGAGCTTGTGCAGAGTGCAAAACGACTGACAGCATCTGAGCAGGGAGCTGGTGAGTCCTGGTGGTGTATGGAGCCAGTTGGTGGCAAGCTGTAACTGTCTGCAGTGACGCTGGGGCTGCTAGGATCTGAGGATCAGGAAAGCACTCAGCATCGGCTACTGGAACAGTCTGAACTCCTAGAGGACCACAGTAGGCGACTCACAGAGCAGCTACACCAGTACTCTGCAAGGATACTCTTCTCATGGACTCTTTTATGCCAACAGAACCTTTTTTTTTAATAAACACTGATATTCTTTTCATCTTGTTTTGCGGGGAGACAGTTGGGAACAAGGGTCCAGAGGAGGGGAGATGGGTTTTTGCACATCTAACATATGAAATGGGCACAAACCTCCAAATGCTCTCAGCAAGTAAGGCTTTCTGAAAGGCCCATCTGTAGTTAGAGATGCCCTGTTTCCCCTGTGAGAGAACCAGTCACTCCTGGTGTCCTGTTTACCTTTTTTCTCTTGCAGGTGACAGAATGATGCCAGCAAAACCTCCTGATCCGCCTTTTCATGGGGGCAGAAGTGAAGCAGCGGCTGTGGAACCAGATCAGGTCAGGGGAAGCTGCCTTGTGGGGACAGAGGCCGAGGGATGGAGCAATGTCATGGACTGGTTGGGCACAGAGGAATGGTGGGAGGAAGCAGCCGGGGAACCAGGAAGGGAAGATGGCTCAGAGCCCAAGGAGTGGAGGTGGAAGAAGGATGAGCGGTCAGAGGGGGAAGAGGGAGAAGCCTGGGAAGAGGAGGTGTCAGAAGCTGAAGGGGAAACAGGGCTTAGTGAGCTGGGAGACTCTGTGGCAGAATGCAGTGCAGAATCAGAGGCAGAAGAGGAAGGAGGCGAGTGGGAGAGGAAAGTCGAGAGGCAGAGGTGAGTCAGCAGAAGGAGGAGCCATCGGTGGCTCCCTCTCCTTCTGCCAGAAGCCACCCTCCCTGCTTGTCTCTCAGAGCCAGGAAACCCCCTGCGTTGCAGGAATCTCTGCTAGATTATGCAAACTGACAGACCCTCTGGGAATGAGCTGCTGTTCTCATGAGGCCCGAAACTCAGCCAAGTCTGTGAATATCGTGTTCTTGCTAAGAAAGTGTGAACTCCAGCTGTGTACTGTGGGATTTCCTACCCCTAGAACTCTGACACCAGCCTTCTGAATTTCGCCAGTAGGATTCATCTGTAGTTGCATTTTCATGGAATCCTACAGTTGAAAGTGACCCCAAGGGTCATCAAGTCCAACCCCCTGTGTTGCTAGATCATCCAAGACAGATGGCCATCCAAAATAGGCTTATCTTATTTCTAGACTGATCACTGAATACAAAAATTGGTTTCTAAGCAGTGGACAAATGAGAAGAAATAGTGGCCTGGATTCACCTAACCAGCCCCATCCGCTGCAAAATGGGGCCTGCCCCCCATTTCTCCCCTCCCCCTCTCCATGCCCCCATGAACCCCTTGAATTTGGCTCTAGGGCATTGGGAGGGAACCTTCCCAGAACAGCTCACAAGGAGAGGAGAAAGTGGATCCTTCCATTGGGGAAACTGGAATGCTTGCATAGGCAGAATGACTTGGAAAACACAAGGTGGGGTACCACCTATTTGCACAAAGACGGATACCCATAATTAAAAGGCAGAATAAAATAAGCATCCATAAATAAATTGTGCAGTTAGCAATCCTATTGAAACAACACCACAATTTACAGGAAGGAAACAACAGAGCATTGTGTAGCAGATCATATTTCTGCTGTCTCAGAGGAGGACATTTCCCTTTTTCTTTTAGGGTCCAGTCTGCTTTGAAGATGTTGCTGTTTGTTTCACAGACGAGGAGTGGGCGTTCCTGGATCCTGACCAGAGAGCTCTGCATAAGGACGTCATGGAGGAGAATTGTGGGATCGTGGCCTCTCTTGATAAGGCTCCCTGTGGGATCATCATATCAGCCTGGAAATTCACAGAGCTCAACAGTGCCCCCTACAACCCCTGGGAACCTAACACCCCCACAATAAACAGTAAGTTACAGTTTTTTCTTTGAACAATCATCCTCAAATTATTCCTTTTTCTACCACGACCGGGCTGGTCTGAACTGCCCAGGCCATCTTCAATGTCAGCTTCAGAATTGTTAGGAAAGATAAGTTGTGAGCTTTAGAGCTTACAGGGTTAACAGCTCAGAATGTCCTGCATCTGGGGAGGAGCTTTCTCAACATCCAGGAAAGCTGTTTCTTCGTTCTTTCTGACTTTCATTTTCTGCTGAGACATGGAAGACGCAACGTCTGCATCTTCCGATGGTTTATCTTGCTGTACATACAATAAAGCTTTCTAGTTTAGAGGAACAGCAGTGTATTGGACTCTGAGTTCTGCAAGCTCACACACACAAGCAGCACTCGCTGTGCCGCTCTGCTACAAGTCCAGGAAATGTGGAGCTTCAGGTTTTCTGTTTTTGTTTTTCTCCTGTCAGTCTTGGGTTGACCAAAGAAATGACTGACAATGGAGATGGAGGGGATGCCATGGCTGGGCCAAACAAAATTCATCCCAGAGAAGAGCTAGACTTATTGAATCTCAGGTAGTAGTAGCACTGATGATGATGATGATGATGATGATGATGAAGATGGTTTACAAACTTAATCTTTTCCGGAACAGGACTGCTCTTAAATCGATGTACCACTGTAGTAATAATAATATTTTTTTATTTATACCCTGCCCATTTGGCTGGCTTGCCCAAGCCACTCTGGACAGCTTCCAACACATATATAAAAATGGCTTCCAACACATTTATAAACATGAAGCATAAATAATAATAATCTGATCCCATATAAAAAGAACATTAACTTTAAAGTGAACTTCTCCTAGTGGCCAAAATTGTGGAAACCTTTTGTGAAAAGTGTATTTCTGAGGTTTGATGGCTCATAACACCACTTTTGTGTGGAGTAGGTAAAGGTAAAGGTACCGCTGCCTGTATGGGCCAGTTGTGTCTGACTCTGGGGTTGTGCGCCCATCTCGCTTAAGAGGCCGGGGACCAGCGCTGTCCGAAGACACTTCCGGGTCACGTGGCCAGCGTGACGAAGCTGCTCTGGTGAGCCTGCACCAGCGCAGCACACGGAAACGCCGTTTACCTTCCCGCTATAAAGCGGTACCTATTTATCTACTTGCACTTAAAGGTACTTTCGAACTGCTAGGTGGGCAGGGGCTGGGACCGAACGACGGGAGCTCACCCCGCCGCGGGGATTCGAACCGCCAACCATGCGATCGGCAAGTCCTAGGCGCTGAGGTTTTACCCACAGCGCCACCCGCGTAGTGTGGAGTAATACCATAAAATTATATATCAATGGAAGGATAATCTAATGAAGAATGTAATGAAAGAACTTTTATGAAGGAGTATTTATTAGAACAGCAGTCCTAACCATTGGCAACCTTTAGCTTTAATTACGGCCTTACAATGCCTTCCCATGATATGAACCAAGTTTTTAGTTCTGCAGCTGTAATAAAGTGAAACCAAGATTAAATTATTGCCTCTGTTAATTGGACTTTATTGCTGGGTTGCTTCTGACTAACAAGTTTCTTTAGTCGGCTCCATAGATTTTTGATTGGGTTAAAGTTTGGGCTATTCCCAGGCCATTCCAGCAGTGAAATATCTTTATCTTGAAAGCACCTTTTGCACACAGCAGCAACATGACATGGAGCGGAATCCTGTTGAAATGGAAAATAGAATATATATGTGTGTGTGGAATGTTTCCAAGGGGTTGCTTGAGAGCAAGCAGCCAAATATCTCTCTGCTTGGCTGTGAAGCCTTGCTTTTGCTGCCAAAATAAACCTTATCCGTCCGGAGTGCCACTCTCCCGTGGCTGACTCAGTCGCTGGCAGAATCCGTGAGTGGGCGGTTCCTAAACTTTCCCCAGCAAAGCAGCTTCTTGTTTTTTTTTTTTATAAATAATGTTTATTAATTTTCCAGCATACATTTATAATATCCAATCTAAATTTATCACATATTTTCTCTTTTGGAATTCCTTCAGCCTCTCTAACAATCATCCATTATTCAATTTTTTAATTACACATTTCCTAATTTTTATATTGCATTTTATATACCTTCATCCTCTTATTTTTCTTCAACACAATATTCCTCAAATATTCACAGAGATTCTTGAAATCCCACTAGCGTTGTTTGCTCATCACATATACATTTCAAATAATCTGAAAATTTCCCCCAATCTTCGATGAACTTTTGGTCACGTAGATATCTGATCTTCCCCGTTAGTTTATCTAATTCTGCATAGTCCATCAGTTTCATTCTCCATTCTTCTAACATCGGTAGTTGATCCTGTTTCCATTTTTGGGCGAGTAGTATTCTCGCTGAAGTTACTGTGTATTGGAAAAGTTTACAGTCCTTTCTATTTATCTCATTTCCTACTATTCCTAAAAGAAAGGCCTCTGGTTTCTTAACAAATGCATATTTCAACATCTTTTTCAACTCATTATATATCAATTCCCAGAAACCCTTCACCTTCTTACAATCCCACCACATATGATAAAATGTTTCCCCTTTTTCTTTACATTTCCAACACTTATTACAGTGTGCCCGCAAGACGAACGCCTCGCAAAGCGGAAAACGCGCTAGACGAAAGGGTTTTCCATTTTGGAGGCGCTTCGCAAAACGAATTTCCCTATGGGCTTGCTTCGCAAGACGAAAATGTCTTGCGAGTTCCTGCGGGTTTTCCCCCCTCCCCCCTTTTCCTAAGCCGCTAAGCCGATTATCAGCTGATCTGCTGATAAGCCACTTAACAGCTGATCGCTAAAAGCCGCTAAACCGCTAATAGCGCTAATCCGCTAAGTTGTCAATGGGCTTGCTTCGCAAGACGAAAAAACCGCTATACGAAGAGCCTCACGGAACGGATTAATTTCATCTTGCGAGGCACCACTGTACATGTTTTATACATTTTTGCCAATTTTACGGGTGTAATATACCATCTATAAACCATTTTCATAGCATTTTCCTTTAACGCTGTGCATGCCGTAAATTTTATATTTTCATTCCATAATTTTATCGTCATTGAACTGTATATTATGACCCAAATCTCTGGCCCAGTGTATCATAACCGATTTAACTTCCTCATCTTTTGTGTACCATTCCAGCACCATTTTATACATTTTTAGATAAAATTTTGTATTCATTATTTATTATTTCCTTTTGAAATTTTGATTCTTTTTCATCAAAACCTCTTTCTTTAAACTGCTTTTTAAACATTTCATTAACCTGATAATAATGCAACCAGTCATATGCGTGCTCCTTCACTCCTTCATAAGGATTCATTTTCCTTTTTCCTCCTTCTTTTACTATCAGTTCTTTATATGTAATCCAGTTCCCCCTCATATTGACTTTCTTAAGACTCATAACCTCTAACGGAGATAGCCAGTGGGGAATTCTTGGTTCTAATATACTTTTATACCTCTCCCATATTTCTATGAGAGATCTTCTAAAGATGTGGTTTTCGAAACCTTTATGGATTTTTTTCTTCTCACGCCATAAATATGCGTGCCAGCCAAATCTGTT